GTCAAACAAGGACCTTCACTTTAACCAATGCCAGGGCTCATGTCCAATATGCTGGGCTACTCTGTAGGGTAACAATGCAATTCTTTCCTAATGGCCCCAAAAAAATACCATCTGTAGGCAATGATAAAATATCAGTAGCTGAAAAATGACTAAGTTCATTATTAGCCAGATGGCATGCAATTTTACCCCTGGTTTAAATGCATTGATAATTAATCATTTTCACAGACCAGAATTCAAAACGCTGAGCTACTTGAAAGCAACAACTTTCAATGTTCAGAAAGGAAGCATGACACGAACATTTTGAGCATTTGAAACACAAATTGCTTCTTTGCGAGGATCTTAGCCCAAAATGGGCAGCTGCATTAATCCAGATGTCAGTTTCGGCACAGGTCTGAAGTCATTTCTCATGAGGAGCATAACTTTATGTAATGTACTGAGGGCAGAAGGAAAAATGCTTCAGAGAGATAACCAATCAGATTGTAGAGGAGGTGGGTTCAAACAACTAGATAAGGCAGGACTACCAAATCAGATCTCTTGGTCCCACCTCCTCTAGTCGCTTGGACCCACCTCCTCTACAATCTGATTGGATATCTCTCTGAACCAATTATTTTTTGCTTTGCCCTTAGAACTTTTTTGTGTAAAACTCTAACGAGGAAGTTTTTTGGTCACAGTATTGGTTGTGTTTGACAGTTCCCGTAATTCAGTTCCCTTAAAGCAATGAAAACCTACTATATCTGGGCTATCGCATAAAAATACTGCAACATTTACATTCCTGAAATACTGGCCTTGGTCTAAGGACAACATTTTTTTTAATATAAAATCCTGTATTAGTCATTGAAATGTAAACATATTTGATGAGATAATATAGAAATATGCAGTAGGAACATCCCAACGGTTTCTGGTGAAGGTAAGCAGGGAGGAAGGGGAAAAGAATATACTGCAAGTAAATGGACAGCGGCTGAATCTCCATGCTAATGACACGCCCGTTTGCTTGTGTGATATCACTGGCACAGAAGGGGTTAGTAGTTTGGAGAGATGTCACAGGGGTCGCGGCTACATGGGCACACTGCCTCATTTCGATGAGACGAAGGCGTCTGCTATTGCCTCTCCACCACACACAGAAAAAAAGGCGCATTGTTCTGTAAAAGGCAGCAGAGTTTGGGCAGACAGTAAATGCTAAAGAATTCGGACGGTACCAAACCTCTTCTTTGAAGGGGATGTGCAGACGAATATGCTACCGCAGCTAATGTGGCTCTTCCGCCAACTACGCACATAGCAGAGACATGCAGCAGCGGCGATTGTTATTGTGACCAATCAGGGGTTAAAACATCCATCTGTCTTCCATATTTGCTCATTTGGTACAAGGTCACTGAGACCCTGGAGCCCAGGAAGCAAAGAACACAATGCCGGGGGCATTCTGGCCAGGACGCGGCAATAAAGCACAGGGTGCACACACACACACACACACACACACACACACGTGTAGGGTAAACATATCCTTATGGGGACCGCTCATTCATTTCAATGGGAAAAATGCTAATGCTAACTATGACAACCTTAACCCCTACCCTGCCCTAACCATAACCATAAGTAACCTAACAAAATACAAGAGTTTTTGCATTTTTAGTTTTTTCATAGCAGTTACCGATTTTTATAAAATAGAGTTTTCCCTTATGGGGACCAGGAAACCGGTCCCCATAAGGGAAAAAAAACGGATATTTATCACGTTATGGGGACATTGTGTCCCCATAAGGATAGGTAAACCCGCTCACAGACACACACACACACACATACAGACACACAGACACACGCAAACAGACACAAACATACAGAGACACAAACACATAGACACACACAGAGAAACAAACACACACACAGACACATGCACACAAACAGGCACACGCACACACACACACACAGACACACGCACACAAACAGGCACACGCACACAAAGACACAAACACATGCATGCACACACACAGACACACACGCACATATACAACAGCCAATTTAGTGACATCACTTCACCTGTTTTTAGACTGTATGAATGCAGGAAGAACACACAAACTCCGCACACTGACACACAAACTCCGCACACTGACATGCAGGTGGAAATAAAACCGACAAACACTGAGTAATGAGAAAACTGTGATAACTACTGGGTCACAGGCTGCCCCAGGGCAGAGTGTTGCTGAAATAGGGCAATCCACTCACAGTACTGATAACACTGAATGCACACACCTTTTGGGAAACAATACACATATACTAGCGCGGTTACCACATCTTCAAAAAATTTTAAAAGCAGCCTGATAAGGAGTACAGAAATTGCTGGATGGCCAGATGGAATGCGCGGTGATCTCTCAGTGGGAGGTCAGCCTGTGTGTCTCTGCCTGTGTGTGTAGGAGTGGCAAGTATCAGCTATATTCCGCGTGTACGTGCAACGTGTGGGTGCCATGTTTAAGCCAAACGTGTTGAGTAAGAGACTATTCCGAGGGCCCATAGCATGCTTTACTTTTAAAAGCTTCCTTTTGATTGTTTCATATGGCTGGAAGCTATTTTGCAACAATCAAACAGAGGTTCCATAGCCAAAGCTGATGAGTAAAGTTGGAGTTGGAGGTAATCTTTTCACTTTAAGCATCTGCTCCTTCCACACGAGACTTCAGACACACAGACATGGAACGTGTTGAGAGCTTCGAATCCAGCACCAGGCCATGAGAGTCCGGGGGGGGTGGGACACCCACCCATCCCCTTTAAGAGCCTCTACTTAACTCCCGGATGCCACCGGTCATGCTGAGTGGTTACAGGCCGGCGCAGCCTGGCACTCCGAGGACACGAGCGGCAGATTAAAAGCAGGAGAAGCCGATCCCAGGCCTAATTAATGGGCCAGGCTTCTGTGGAGTCCAGGGACGAGGCATCCGCCCAGGCAACCTCTCCAGACCACAGCTGGCAAAGCTTCCAGGAGGACAATCAAAGACGGGGACCAGTGCGGCAGCCATGCGCTGCTGTGGAAGGGCCTCTACTCTGTTTCTGTTTAATGATATTAGCTGCCAGTCTAATCCGCATGCTTCTTAAACCACATCTTGATAAAATGTGTGATTACAAAAAACACAAAGCAACAAAAAAGAGACAAATTATATCCTTGTGCGTGTAACATGAAACACAACCCGCAAACATATCAAGAAAACAAAAGATATTATATATACATATAAACTACATTACTATGTATCTAGACAATGCTGATCAAACGATAATGTAAGTGTCATGCAGCAAACAGATGGTGACTATATAATGTTTTGATGTGATGCACATCAATTTAGACTTTTTATTTCTGAGTTTACGAATGTAAATTTGGGTATGGATTGTGGGTCATGTCCCGACCAATACTGCGGGGGGCGGTGGTGGTGGGGGGGGAGTTCGGGCTGATTTAAAACCAACCTAAAGCCCTTGGTGTTGGCAGGTTCATTTAAATGCATTAAAGATTGTTCAGTTATTAAACACAGAGACGTATGATTATATTTGCATTCCACTTATGAATAAATTCCCTTTTCTGGACTTCAAAAAAAGCCAGTCTGGGTCCATAGTGTCAAGTGCACTCCAGTCTCCTTGTGTGGTCTCAGAGTGTGGGGGGTAATTACAGTGCTTGACCTTTAGTATGACGCTTATTCATTATGTATTTCCACTACGGCCAATGTAGTATGCGACTGAGCACTGTAGGGACTTCAAAAATTCCCTGCCCATAGATATAACTGCAGTGAAACACCAGTGAGCATCTCGAACTCTGACAAACACGAAAAAAGGACATAGCTTTACCACTGACCCGGATAAAATGAGCCATACTGTTTGCTGAGTGGGACACTTTTACATAGTGCCATGCACCATTTTGTGCATCGACAAATGACATGTCTGAGAAGGATACCAAAAATAGAGGAGAGATTTTAAGTAGGGGAAGCGTAATTACACATTGCATTCAGGGGGAAAAAACTGTGTTTCTAGGAGGGGGGAGGATGGTATATTTTGTCTTACGTGTCAGGAAATATGATATTTGCCCATTTACGAAGCTGGCTGGTTTGGACAGTGAGATAATGGAACATAGATTCTAGAGAAGGTACAGTCTCTGCGTTGTCTGCTTCTCACTGACCTGCTTTGAACTTGGACCCCAACGCCTGCTATTTTGTAGAATAATCCAGCAAGTTCTGCGGGCAGTAAGACAGCAGCCCCTCGGAGGAAGGGGGGGGGGGGGGGGCATTGTCTCTGCCAGGCACTGACTGCCCTTGATCCATTGTTCGGTATGTGAGTGTGAGCCACTCTCTTTGGCTGGATTTTTCAGTGGGAGAAGCTAGTGCTGGGTTGACACTTACGGTAACTGAGATGACAGTCATGTAAGAGAGCTTCACCTTTGGCTCTAACTGCTCTCCTGACACAGCTGAGGGTGTTTTCAAAAAAGATCGATTCTAACAAGATGTAATACACTAGACCAGAAGCCAAACCGAAATCCACGATGCCTGAATTTTGCTCTCTGTGCTCGGATGGGCTGCCGTTTCAGTATGGGACAGCCTCACAAATGCAATTATACACAGAAAGCAATTCTAGACAAGCCACTCATCCAACTCCATGTCTAGAGACAGTGGAGGAACGTCACATCACTAAGGAAGAATGTACAAAGTCCACATACACAAACTCAGTGGTGGGATGTGAACTTCCAGTACTGGAGGTGCGAGGTAACAGTGCTTCTGACCAGGATGCCCTGTGAACCTGCTGTTAATTATTTATGTGGCTTTACTGAATAGAGGCACATGAGGGGAGCAGATCGATGGATGCTGTAGGCCACAGCACCACGTGCCACGGTTCATTTGTTTAAAAAGGTGCTCTTTTATGGCGATGAGATGGACCAATGAAATCAACCGTCAAAAAACCTTAACAATGAAAATGGGGGGGGTGGTGTCGTACAGGCAACGTGTGAATTTACACGCAAAAAAAAGTTTCAGTGGCAGGCAATTAATACAAAAGAACCTTCAAAGTGCTAAATGCGGATATACTGTCCGCTTTACATTACCACCATTTCTCTCCGGATGAAAGAAAAGGGGGGAAGAAACGTGGCCAGCAAGTCAATCAGCCCTCGTGAATAGCGAGAGCCATGTGAGCGTCTTCTGACCGCAGTTGAAAGTGGGAGTGCGCAGCTATATACGCAGGCTCTCCAGGAGGCGATCATCCAAGAGGCGACCATCCAGGCACCGCTACAGCACGGCAGCAGGCAACCGGGGACTAACGCCGCCGGCATCGGACTTACAGCCTTTCGCCATTTACACGTCGCCTTGCATTTCTTATTGCTATCACACCAGCACATAGGGTGCCGTTTTGCTGTGGTGCCATCGCACAGCACAGGAATCGTTTCGCTAAAGAAATCCGCCAGCGTACACCATGGCAGCGCTGACAGGGGGAGATAAATGCATCAAATACCTGCTGTTCACCTTCAATTTCATCTTCTGGGTAAGTTTCCAGCGATTAGCTTTTTGTGCGTTTGGTGATGAAGTCAGCGCCTCCCGATCGTAACAGTACCGAGTGACTTCAAAACTGCTTGACATAAAATCTGTCCCTGCGGGGGATGTTTTTTGGGCAAAATATACAATAATGAGTTCACGAAACATTCTGAATAATATTCCTGAATGCAAATAGCGTTTATTCTAATATTTGACTTATTTACATGCCAAATTGCATGAATCTATTTTTCATTAGCGATCGGTAATATTTAATACTATACTAGACCATAACCGACTATTTCCAGTAATAAATCTGTAGATGCATCATAACATGTCCTAAAACGATAGTCTCCTTTGTTAATCACCAGCAGGTGCAGACCCCGTAGTCCGTGTCCATGTGACCTAGTTTCACAGTTCATGAAATTGCCATCCCGATTGAGGAAAGGGCTTTTCCCTGCCTTCTCGCCGTTTTGCATGCTCCAGGCCTGCAGCCCTGTGCTGCAGGAAGGTACAGCGTGAAGCGCATCGGAGCTGTGCTGATGCTGGTGTGTACCTTTGTCCGCTGGTGGGCGGGTCTCACGAGCGTGCAGATTCAGACACCTAACGCACGCCTCCTATTCCCATCTCCTATAAATAAACCTGCTTAATCTAATAGCCACGGTGCCTTTTACATAGGTGAACAGACGACTTGACCCGTCAAACTTGTTTATCATCGCGTAAATAGCACTTATTAAATCTTGACCTGTACTGATTTGCATTTACGATGTGCACAGACAGATATTAACTTAAAGAATACCTTCTCTAAAATGGATTGTTTGCTTTCCTTATATTTGTGTTTTAAAATCATGGCAACATTAAACTATTCTGTTATTTATACAAGGTGTTTATAAATGCCAATTGATTAAAAATACATAAAAACCTAGCAGTGAAAACAGGGAAATTCCAGCTGTAAGTGTTTTGTTTCTCTGATTTGGGCGTTTGTTTTATTTTAATTTTCCATCTTTGCTTATCTTTACAATGCCTTTATTTATCACATGGGAAAACGGAACCTTATACTGGTGCCTTCACATCAGTGAGAAGAATATTAACAACAAAAAATATTTTTTATAATCCTGCCTTGCTGGATTCACCGTTTCAGCTGCCCGTCACACTGACAAGACAGAATAATGTTTAAAAGTATGAAACGTTTTGATACGGCAGACAGCCCCATTGGATCTGTGCTCTGGCTTGAACTTTGAGTCTTCACTGTAGATTTTAAAGGCAGGACAGTAGGACCCCCAAAGTGTAGCGAATTATACATCACATGGCGCGTCTTTTCACCGTTATCAGCACTGAGAGCGGTGTTCCAGTGTAAACAAACGGGCAAATACGCTCTTCTTTTTGCAGCCACTCTTCATCCCCCATCCTTACCGGCTGTTCATTTCGCACCCCCAGGACGCTGGTTCCTTTCCTGTCCCGGGGTCTGTGCATGTGCAGCTTGCGTTTTCTGCCCGCATGCATACAGATTTCCTCCTACTGGTTTGTCTTCCTTCTGCAGTTAACAGGACAAAACGCGGATAGATCCCTGAACTGACCGCAGTGCAGCGCCAATCACCCGAAGATGCTAAGAAATAAAAGGGATGTTCTTCGGTTCTGTTCTTATGCTCCACAACTTGCCCCCCCCCCAAGTCTGCATCGACACTGCCACTGTGTCTGAGTGTGGACTAAGGGGTGTCCCTGATATCAGCTGTAGTCCACCGCGATTTGCCATCAGAACAATCCTATCATCCTGTGTGTCACTTAAACTAGGTTAGGTCACACATCAGCTTATGTTCAATGGCTATATCAATGGATTAATTCAGACCAATCTGCCCGTTTAATTATCTGACAAGCTACTAACAATGAAGACTATTGGTTATACCGATTCAGTAATTTAATGATTTATACTGAAGATAACACTTAGAGTAAGATTTTAGATGGAATGATTTTTTTCCCGTTAAAAATATCATTGCGTAGGGTGTCATTTGTAAACATTAAAACATTGGAAGTTTGAAGGTACCGTGTCATTCAAGAATGTGAATTCTCATTGCAATTCTGTCAGTGTTTTGATTCTATACTGGTGCCCTTCTGTGTGGACTTTGCGGACCTCTGGATTGGCCGGGTAACCACGTAAAGGTCAGCCGAACGACTCATGGCGGCTGGTTACTGGAACAATCGAAAAAGGTTACATCAATAAAATAACGCATTTACAAGACAGCCTGAATACCACTTCAGAAATGGCCATTTCAGTTTGTTAGCTGATTTAACACTGCATGGGCTTCCTGATACAGTCCTGGAAGTATAATTTCAAAACTCTTTTTTTTAAAAAAGCATCTAGCCTGCATTATGGTCTCTAAATTCATCCACATTTGTCCTCTCTGTGCATGGCTCTTTCATGCACCATTCCAAAGGCTGTTGTGACATTTGCAATGCATACAGACAGCCATATTGTTTACATGTCCTGCTCCCACACTGTTAAGTAAGAAATGAAATTTCCATGACGCTGATTCGTGACTATCATCATCATCTAAGCCATTCCTGATGTTGGACAGAAGAAACGGCCAGGAATTGTGGCACCCTCTGAACTGTGGTGAAACTAGCCATGCTGACTGTGTAAAATATAAGGGGTAGATAAAACAGTATCATTTTACACGAGGGTACAAGTAATGTAGCAGTACACTCTTACTTAATGTATTAATTAACCAGGAACTAAGTGTTAGTTACGAACTGATCCCATGTTTGTTCATTATTTATCAGTCTTAATGATTTGTGTATTTCTTGCAGCTACTATATTTGTTCATGATTTGTACTTGAGTAGTAACTGAGTTACTAAGTTACTTGTGCCCCCTCAAGTAAAGTGACACTGATAAAACAGTACTGCTTTTAATAAATGGCTGGAGTTCCCAGAATGCCTGTTTCCATGGGTGTCCGCACCTGTGCTTATCTTCGCTGTGCTTATCCGAGGCCTGGCCTTCATTTACATTGAAATGGAAAGAAAAGACTTTATCAAGCTCAGCTCGGAATCGGCTCCGTCTGAAGTTATTACACAGGACGTAGAGTTTATACCCAAGGCATATAATTGTCCTGTTCGTGTCTATGTATCGGAACTTCAGCACAAAATGATGTGCTTTCAGTGAAGCAGAAAAGACCAAACTGGCGAACTGGTGCGAAAATGAAAATCACAGATATATATTTTTTTAAACTGAGGCGCTATTTAATATCCTTTTCATTGTTCTGTCCTAATCCCAGGTTTGAGATCTCTCACAAGATCCGTGTAGGTACAGAACCCCCCCCCCCCCTAAGCTATAGAGTTACTGACTCTTTAGAAGCAGGAGGATTGAGTGTGCTCCTCCCCCACTACAAACATGCAAGTGGAACAGGGCGAGTGGCCACTGGCACAGAAACCCTTACCTTTTAAACTCTTCAGATTTGGGCCGTACCATCTGGGGGATGATTCAGGGTGTTTTTTGACAAGATTCTAAACAAAGTATATAGATCAATGTGTGAACAGTGCACAGATGTGTAAAGACCAGTGCAGGTGAATATGGTTTTCTAAAGCTTTCCGGGCCAGATGTGAGTCCCTCGTCTAGTTTTGGCCCAGCGGAAACTCCACTGGAGGAGTTTTACAGGTAAGTATTTTGTATCTTGTGTGTAGATTTGCGATTCTCTTCAGAAAGCTTGTCGCAAGACTAAAGTGGAGGGTGGGGAAATACCTGTCTGGTTTGCCCACCCCCTCATGCAAGCCCAACCCCTTTCCAGGACACAGCTACCTAACAAAGGGCAGGTAATGTATATGTGGGAGTGGTTCTCAGGAATTCACTGACTCGAGTGGAAGGACAAGATTGGAGCAGAAGGCGCTTGCATTCGCTCACGGTTCACTGCACGGAGTCCAGCATGGCAATCAGGGGAGGAATACAGTGTGTGAAGTACCTGATGTTCGCCTTTAACTTCCTGTTCTGGGTAGGTTCACCTCCGCGCTTCCTGCTGGGTGTTGTGGGGGGGGGGGATTTACGCCAGGTTACGTCTGATTCCTGCGCAGTTTCAGTGGCTTCGGCAAAACCATAGCTGATTATTTATTTATTTATTTATTTTTTAAAAGTTCATGTGAGAGTTCACATAAGCGGTGAGGTATCAGAGGTTTGGAATCCATCTTGATCTGGGTTGGGTCACCTCCTGTACACCCGAGGCCCTACTCGCTGTTTTTAACATTAGCTTTCGCTTGGAGTGAAAAAGACACGAGGGACTGGTTATGGAGTTGGATCAGTGAGGTTGACCTTCTCGCCAGCATTTTCAAACTGGGTGGAACACAGAGCGACCGGTGATATTTCTCGTGTTGTAGTGTGTGTGTGTGTGTGGGGGGGGGGGGGGGGGTTTATCACCTGCGACTGTAATATTCCACCCATCTGATCACTACTCTTTTAAATGACAAAAAAATCTCACCGGGTGTGTGTCTCCACTGGATGGGATTAAAGTGTTGAACAAAGACAGCAGATTCCTGTCCTGGGGAGTCAGTGAGCCCGAGTCGTATTCACCGCGCTTAGATTCACATGAACCACGTCTCACGAACAGAGTTTAGTAAGAGGTGAGGGGGGTAGATTTAGGTCAAGCATCAGTTCAGGACTCAGTGGTAATTTATGTGTATGAAATTGCAGGAATTTAAAAAATCTGGATAGAATATCCTATATACATCACACACACATACAGCTAGTGTGCAAAAGTCTTAGGCAGCCAAAGAAAATGACGTTTAATTGATCTTCATGTTGGTGTACAATTATGCTATTATGCCTGTCAAAGTGTGTCAGCTTCGCTGTTTCTAAACCTCTGCTAAATTCACCCGAGTATTTGCAGCAGCCATCCAAAACACCCGTGTATCTTATCTGACACGACCACTAGCACATCTCGTATGGCTAATCAACACCCCACAGGCTTTTAAAACTAGATTAATCAATTAGTGAAGTGAGCTGGTGGTGAAATTTAACAAATACATGGAGTGGCTGAGGTGCCCCTGAGGGGAGGTTTGGGACCTGAAGCGGTGTTCATCTAGCCATCCAGCAAGATATCAATAACTGTTTGGAGAACAGAAGAAATTCTTACTAGTTCTTATTGTGCTACTCTTAATTTGCGTGTGTTCTAATGCTAAAAGTTCACATATTTTCCAGATAAATGGCTTTAAACATGTATCTTTTGACTGCCTAAGACTTTTGCACAGTACTCTGTGCATATGTGTGTGTGTGTTTGTGTGTGTGCAGCTACTGAGGATGAATAAGGCTTCTGTCCTTTGCCTCTCTGTGACAAATTTGGTTAACAGAGGAATTGGCGTCTCTCACGTGACCATCGCTGACACACATGCATATCTCGCATGCAACTTCATTCGTGCCTGTGACAGTTGCATCGTACCTCTTAAAACAGGTGGGGAACCTGTTCCATGGAGGGCCGGTGTGGGTGCAGGTTTTTGGGATGGCCTCCCAATCAGCCAATAACAGTGGGTCCCCAGGACTGGAGTTGAGAACCACTGCTTTATTATTGGCTGATTGTGAGGTCATCCCAAAAACCCGCACCGGCTCTCCATGGATCAGGTTCCCCATCCCTGTCTTAAAATGTGTTTATGTCTGCTGTAATAGTGGAAACACTTTACTGGATGGAGCACAAATACTTAGTAATAAATTGTTTACTAATGACGTGCAAATCATGAACAAATACAGTTGTCAAGTTGTCAAGATTCATTAATGAGGAACCATTATGAGATCAGTATTTTGTGTGATGTTCATGACTTGTTCCTTCAGTAGTTCCTTCAGTATTTTACAAAGGTTTACAGAATTAACAGGTATAGTAACAATATAGTAACTGCTTGAGATAAAACATGCATCACGATTCATTAATGATGAATTAACTAGATCAGTATGTAACAAAGACTTTGTTTGTGCTTAATTAGTATACAAGTAATAGTATAATACTATATTATTTGTGCCCTGTCAAGTAAAGTGTTACTGTAATGTTATTTCTTACAAATATTCATTCAGGGTAGACCTTACATAGGCCCTTTGCGGTATCCCAGCTGTGCTGGTCAAAACATTATGTCATCCGGCAAGCCAGAGTTGTGTATGTGTCTGTTTAGTAGGAGCTGTGATACCGTTGGCTCAAGGGTCTGACAGAAGTGCTATAATGTACAGGCTTACCCAGGCTGCAGCCCAGGGGCTTCCGCTAATAAAGGGCCTTGACTAAATGAGTTTAATTAAATTATCAATGTTATCTGCCAGTGAGTGACTCAGTCAAATTGCCGAAGCACACCCCACCCCCTCCTGGTCAACATCTCTTACTGCCGTGGCCACCGCCTCTCGGGCACAGGGTGAGATTAGGCGATGAAGTTTGAAGACTCAAACAGCCCAGGGACCTGTGATCGTATTATTATCCAGAAAAAGCTTGATAAGAATCATAGTTCACCTTTGGGGGTTGGGAAAAATGTTTGTCAAAAGGTGGCAAACCCAGTGTGTGTGTGGGTTAAAAAATGTTTCTGTCCAGAAACATTTCGGGTCATCCAGGTGCCGCAGAGACAAGCAGATTGTGAGAAGAGAGTGACCTTTGTTAGAGAACTAGAATCATCTTTTTCACGACTTATCTATAGTACGGCCTTGTTGAGGCCTTAACAAATAGAGGCGATAAACATTTTTACCCCAGAGGATGGAGGTGGGGCAGCCAGAGAGCATAACTGACAGACTCTGCGCTCAGCTTGCAGGAACAGCAGTTCTGGCCATCGGGCTGTGGCTGCGCTTCGATCCCAGGACCAAGAGCCTTTTTGAAGGGGAGGACTCTCCCTCCGTATTCTTCACAGGTAAGAGGCGTGTTCCCTCCAGATCAGGTGTTTGTGTTGTAACCATGGGAACAGGGTTCACGCTGCCGTTATCTGAAAATTTGCCCAAGGGAGAGACGAACACCTCTGTGGACAAAGAGGGAGTTGCCATTTACACCAACCGCTATTAAACCAAGAGCAATTTCCCAGTAACTGATGTGTTTAACAAGCTTTTGTGACCAACAAAACATTAGTAGGGAAGTCATTCTGATTTACAGAGAGAAATGCATTCACCCTCACATACAAGTATTTACATTTTTACGCAGCAGAGGGATAAACTCCTCCTGTCCTGCACCAGTTGCCCTGAATGTTATTGATATTGAAAAGTTCCCTGAAGTTGTTATGAAGTTAGAAAAAAAGTTAGAAAAAACTGTTTACTAATCCAATCAAAGCACTGAAGTTGTTTGAAAAGTGTCGTTAATGCCTTGGGGGAGGGGGGCGGGTTCAAAGGAGGCAGTGTCTGAGGGTGGGGCGAGGCCGCAGCCAGTATAAAGGGGGCGCTGTTTCTGGGGACGGAGGGAGAGTCGGGGCAGCGGGGGCCACACTGGCCCCTGCCATGGCCGCTCCTCAGACCTGGCAGCAGATCATTTCAGAAGCAGAGACAGAGAGCGTCCTTTCACAGCCCGAACAGGACGGCCATTGTCACGATGGCTTTTTTTGTCTCCGCCCCACTGGTGCAGAAAGACTCTCTTTTTTTTTTCTTTTTTTTTTTTTTTAAAGTTTGATCATTTTTTTCCCACCCCATCAAAATAACTTCTGTGGGAGGACGGCAGTGTCGTGGCAGCGGCAACAAAATGGTG